CCCCCCGCCCTGGCCCCTGGCAATCTCTCATCTACTTTCTGTTTCTACAGATTTTCCTATTCTGAACATTTTATGCACATGGAATCATACAATATGTGGCCCTTTGTGGCTGGCTTCTTTCACTTAGCATAACGTTTTCAAAGTTCATCCATGTGGTGGCACATATCAGTACTTCATTCCTTTTTATGGCTGAGTAATATTCCATTTTATGGATACACAACATTTTGATTATCTGTTCATCAGTTAATGGATATTTGAGTGGTTTCTACTTTTGGCTGTTACAAATAATGCTGCTCTGAACATTCATGTACAAGTTTTTGTGTGGACATATGTTTTCAATTCTCTTGGGTATATAAGTGGAAGAGAAATTGCTGGGTCAAACAGTAATTCTGTGTTTAGCTTTTTTTTTGTTTTTGCTTTTACAAGAACACAAATCCACATTCATTTATTTACTTTTCATTTAAATCCTTTAGTTTAAATCCTTGAACATCACACAGATTCTGTGTCCAATTGCCTTAGCAAGAAGGTTGCTTCGGAATTTGGCATGAACCATGCCACTGTTCCCATGGACATGAGTTACCTCTCCCCAGATTACCCTGGTTTTGTTTGGTTTGCTGCCAGGAGTCACTGTGTTGTTCTTTGCTTTGTACACTTTAGCACATCTCTTGCCCAAGTGAAATTTAGTTTCATCTTGGGCACAAACACCTTCAATTTTAAGAGGAGCTGTATCTTCCCTTTGGTTCCAGAGACCCTGCTTATAGCCAGCAGAAATGACCTTGGACCACAGCCTTCCAGACATACTGCCTTTCAGAGGTCCTGTTCCCAGTGGGCCTCCCTGGGCTTCAAGATGGCGGGAAGAGCTGTTTAACTTTTTGAAGAGCCATTAGACCGTTTCCAACATGGCTGCAGTGCTTTCAACTTCCACCGACAGGGATGAGGGTTCCACTTTCTCCACATCTTCACCAACACTTGTTTTCATCTCTCTTTTTTTTTTTTGTCTTTTTTTTTTCCGTGTCCGGCAATGGATCGCAACCCTCAGTGTTGCCCCCGTACCGGACCAGGACTGGAAACGGGATCGCAATCCTCGGTGTTGCCCCCATACCGGACCAGGACCGGCAACGGGATCGCAACCCTCAGTGTTGCCCCTGTGCCTCGCTCAGCCAGTGAGCGGGAACCGGTCTGTATGTGGGATCCGAACCCTCGGCGGGAGCGCCGCCGCGCTTCCCAAGCGGTGCACTGTAGCAGTGCGCCACCGGGCTGGCCCTTCGTCTCTCTTTTTAATTATAGCCATCCTAGTGGGTGGGAAATGCCATCTCATCGTGGCTTTGATTTGCATTCCCTGCAAAATTTGTCCTCGTAAACACTGAATCTAAAAAGGTAGCAATGGGGTAATGTAATTGGATTTTAAGACAACAAAAATCATCTCTAAATTTCACCTGCATCTTGGCTTTCATTTCCACAGAAGGATGGTAGTGTCTTTTAACAGGGGTCTTGGAAAGGTGATTTTCCCTCTCAAGGGGTATATCAGTGTGTTTGCTTCTTGAGCAGGTTCAAGCAAATAAGCCATCAGTTGCTTGTAAGGCCACCTGTGTTGCTATTATATGCAAAGCATAGTATTGGGCCGGCCCGGTGGCGCACTGGATAGTGCGCTGCTTGGGAAGCGCAGTGGCGCTCCCGCCCGAGGGTTCAGATCCCACATACAGACTGGTTCCCGCTCACTGGCTGAGCGAGGCGCGGGAGCATCACCGAGGGTTGCGATCCCGTTGCCGGTCCCCAGTCCGGTACGGGGGCAACACTGAGGGTTGCGATCCATTGCCGGACACGGAAAAAGACAAAAAGACAAAAAAAAAAAAAAAAAAAAGCAAAGTTTTAAAATTTTTTTCCCCGGAAGCGGTTTTTTTTTTGTTTTTA